ATAATATTGTTCAAAATTTTAACTGCAACTTTTCACTGTACAGTGGTTGAATGCTGGATCAACTGTACAACCAACCAAAATGTCTGTTTATGAAGCATTAAGATTTAGGAGAAATCCCTTCTCGGCGTCTGTACACAATTGAATTAAATTCAATTCAGTTTATTTCTATAGCTCCAAGTCACAACAGAAGTTGTCCCAGGGAACTGAACAGAAACAATCATATAGATATTCATATTAGTAAAAGTTATCTATCTAAAGAAGCAGCAGATTGTGTTGAATCTTCACTTCATCAGTCTTTCATCCTGAGCAAGCACAAAGGAGGAGACAGTGGAGAGGAAAAACTCCCTTTTAACAGGAAGAAACCTCCATCAGAACCAGGCTCAGGACGAGTGACCATCTGCTTCGACTGTCTGGTTTGAGAGGAACAAGAAGGAGAAACAAATACAGAATGATAGGTCCAGATGAACTTTCTATAGGAGGAAAGACAAAAACACATGTTAATATAGATATAATTACAAATACTAACAGGTTGAGTAGAGTAAGTAAAGACAGCAGCAGAGAGAGGAAATGTGGTCAGTTTGTCCTCCAGCAGTCTAAGCCTATAGCAGCATAACTAAGGGACAGCTCAGGAAATCCAAGCCAACCCTAACTATAGGATTTATCAAAGATGAAAGGCTTAAGCCCAGTCTTAAACTGGACAATGTGTCAGCCTCACGGACAGAAACTGGAAGTTGGTTCCACAAGAGAGGAGCCTGATAACTGAAAGATCTTCCTCCCATTCTGCTTTTGGAAACTCTAGGAACCACAAGTAAACCTGCAGTCTGAGAGCGAAGTGCTCTGTTAGGAAAATATGGAACAGTAAGATCTGTGGAGCTCGGCAGACTGCTGGGAGGAGTGGCCATAGATCTGGGAGGAGTTCTGCTCGGCATTCAGGCGGTCCTACAGCCCGGAGGAACCGAGAGGCCAGCCGAGTCTGGGTGGACGGATCGGACGGCATCCATCTACAGCCAGTTTCTTAGGATCCACTGTGGGATGGACCTTTACAAGAGATCCTTCCTGTCTACAGCCATCAGCATCTATAACATCTCTTTATGAAATGCGGATCACGAGTTACAACAACAAATAATTTCCCTTTGGGATTAATAAAGTATTTTTGAATTTGAATTTGAAATGACACATTTGTTGACACAAATGAATGACAGCTGAGGCAACAGATGGGGAGGGGGCTCTTTTATGCTTCTTGTGACCGCATGGGGGGATGGGGAGTGGCGGCGACAAAACAAAAACTCCTCTTCGTTTCTTGTATGTTATTAAGAGGCATTTAAACCATTTAAACAGTGTGATAGGAAGGCCTTGATCCATGTCTGTAATGACTCTTCAGGTCAGGGTGTTTCTCCTGGTCTTGATCCGGTTCCCTCAGCTGCCTCAGATTTCTGCACCATGAAGATTAGACGAAAACTGAAAATCTGCTTACAAACTACAGACTGACTTATGAACATCTGCTCTGCTGTTTTATACCACTTTCAGTGTCACCATCTTTTTCAGGCTTTGTTGAGATGTCTGAGACGACAGACTGGAAGTGTTGGATTTACTGTGGGGTGTTTGATGTGTTTTGTCTCTCTGTGCCTTCACTCAGACCATGAAGCTGCAGCCTCCAGAGTCTATAACAGAAGCCTACGTGCTCCTGAACTTCGGAGACTCCGTCACGACTGACCACATCTCTCCTGCAGGGAACATCGCCAGGAACAGCCCCGCAGCACGCTACCTCACTGACAGAGGGTAAGGCAGCTCACCGCTTCCCATCTCAGGACATGTGCACATTTGGGTGAAGCATTTTTATTAAACCAGTGAAGCTTGCATATCATATTGGGGAAAAAAAGGTTAATTACTGGCAGCTTTTCAAAATCAGTGCTTGATGGGCCACCTGCTGGTAAGAGTTAGGGATTGCATGGTTGCAAAATGTGCCCCATCTGACATACATCAGACAGAATAATGGTAAATGGACTGCAGTGTTTCCCCTACCATTATACAAGCAGGGAGCCCCGCCCCGTCAAGAGAACCGAGCACCTCGCCTACCCCCAGTTGGCACCGATGTAGGGCTAAGCTAGCGGCACGCAGTACAGGTGCTCTAGCTAAAAAGCTAAAGGCAGCGCTCACACTGCCTCTTCCCTCACTTTTAACAACAACCCCCCACCCCCCGCTCGAAAACTGTTGGTACAAACAAC